TTTCTACTTTAACTATTTCATGAATGGATAGATGATAATATCAACCTTGTTTGTTTTTAGTTAAACACAAAGCTACACAATAGAATAATTACACTGTGCTCATCAGGGGTATTGAAACTCGGTTTTTAGCGTTGTAAGTCCGCAATTTACCGCTGTGCCACTGGGGGAAGGGTAGGGGGGGGGAACCTCGAAAGACACATACGTATACATACTGACTATATATCAATTAAATACATAAGTATAGCAAAGTTTATTGGCATCATTTTTCTTAGTCCTGTCCTCTGTAGCTTAGAGCAACGTAAGCTAACCAACTTGCTTTACTAAGAAAACTAATTTACCAGAGTAGACCTATGCAACACCATTTTAGTCATGTGCAAGTTTAGTTTATTATTTCAAGAACTGAAAGTAGTTATTACGATTTTTTTTTCTTGGGCACTGTCACCCTTCGAGCAAAAGACTCAATAAACAAATTATTAATACGTTTAAAAATGTACATTGTTGTGCCAGTGCTTTTCCATTCTCTAAGAGGAGACCCCTATACAAAATTATCATAGCGTTTATTGGTTAGTTTTACATAATGTTGCCCCCTCTTTTAGTCTCTCGCTGGATCAACGGTATGTTTATGGATTTACAACGCTCAAATTCGGGGTTCGATTCCATAAGGTGCGCTAAAACAAAAACCTCTTCATTAATGCGCGCAGTTATGTAGGTTTGTTTTAAATAAAGTTTACACCATCCAGTTTCTAAATAAAATGTATTCACTTTATAATAATTCGTTTGTTTGTAATTAAGCACAAAGCTGCACAATGGGCTATCTGTGCTCTGCCCACCACGGGTATCGAAACCCGGTTTCTAGCGTTGTAAGTCCGTAGACTGTGGGGCATAATAATTCGTATTATGTAAAAGAGGAAACTCCTGTGAACCTAGTTGTTAGGAGGGAATTGATAAGACAAACGTAGTTAATATTTGAAAAAACCAGCTCGTGATTTAACTATCATTTTTCTTTCTTTAGTGTTTAAAATATATTTAAGTTGTGCTGTTCTTTTTATAACATAGATGCAAATGCACGTACACTTGAGCAGAACCTTGCTTCTAATTTTCAGAATTAACTATTAGTAATTTTATACCGACTTTTATAACTCCAATTTTATACATTTACAAGTTTTTTCTCTTTCACTGTTAAAGGTACATATACGTTCCTAATTTTTCCTCATTTAACTGATTTATGCTAACAATTTGTGTTCACAGAGCATTATATAAACGAAAATGGTCC